CCATCTAATCACTTTGGCGCTCCACAGCCATCACTACGAGGCGTTGAGTCTGCAGCGCCCGGTGCCCGGCGCCGGCGCCCTCGCGCTGATGGCGCGGCGCCCACGCAGCGCATCAATCATTCCCGCGGTTCCTGTCCATGCGGCGCCCGCACCATCAGAGTCCCGCCTCCCGCCAAGGCGTTCAGTATGCTGACATAATGTCCCGCCCTCCCCATATGCGGGAGCGGCGGGCGGTGGCGGGCGGTGGCGGGCGGTGAGGGCATCACAGAGAGCGTGTCTAGCTAGTGATTTGTGTAAATAGATGCGCATTCTTAATACAAGTACATACAAAAAACAACGGAGCGAATCGGACAAGGGGAGGGGAGGGGCAAGGGAAACAACGAGCTCGCCGTCCCCGACGGCGAGCACGGGGGCGCGGGCGGCCATCACGGACGGGCGGCGCGAGGGGAGACGCCAGTGGGGGCGGCCATCAGGGAGCGCGGCACGGGAAGCCGCTCACGTGGTCCGGGAGAGCGCAGGGGAGGCTGGGCCGGGCCCTCGGGGACGTCGGGGACAGGGGCAGGGGACTTGCGCATAAGCCCCCGTTTTACCGTTTCCTCTCAGGGAATATCAAGCGTTATTCGTAGAGGGTCTACTAGTGGCAGGGGAATAGGCATTCGCAGTCGCCGGAACTAGTATCAGCCCAGGGGGGTGATGGCAGATCAATTGATTGCAATAACGTGAGGTACGGGTGCGATAGAGAGGCTGGCACAACTCGTCGAGCGCCGGCTGAGCGCCGGGCCTCGGATCTCTCCGAACGTGAGCTCAGCGTGCGAGTCTGCCTAGTTTCCGTCTGGCAGCCACGTCTATTCTCGCGATTATTCCTCGCCCCGCCCCTCGCCTGTCGCAGATATTCACGCCCCGCTCGCGCCCGGCGCCCGTCAGCCTCTGCGCGCGCGCGCGTCCTCCTTGCGCGTGGCTCACCCGTCCTGGCGCGTCGTGTCATGGCTGGTCGCGCGTCACACCGTACACGTCGTGCATTGCGCTTCGCCTTCCGTTGGTGAGAGCGTGGGGCGGCCGCGGTCTTCCCCAGCTGTCCCTTAATTGCGGAGCTAACCCCGTAGATATATATTACCATGTAGTGGCAGCCATAACAAAGGCCAGTTTAGGTGGCCACCGCGGGGCATAGGCGGATGTAACGGCTGGAAACATTTGAGATTCATGAGTGTGACTTGTAGTGTGTCACTCTGAATGTACCTTTCCGATACATGCGAGTTCCTTTTGCCAAGTTCAGGACATGTAACACGGAATGATTCCGTTGGAAACATTTTCGATGTAACGGTGGGAAACATTGGTCATGTCTCACCTTGTGACATGCCGAGATATATCCTTGAGACATGGGCCATGATGCAAACAAGTCACATGTATGTCACCGCGGCCTTCATCTATGGAACATTCGAGATACATTTGAAATGTCTCATCGGAGATTCGCGGATGATTCCGTCCGTGAACACGCGAGAAACATCCATGAGACTTTGAGGATGACGCGCGCATGTAACGCACAAAGTCTCGCAAATGTTGCACACCACCACTACCTACTACTACACCCTCAACTACTACTTCTCCCTACCACCTCTACATATCCCACGACCACGACCACTACGACCACGACCACGACCACGAAACCACGACCATCAAACCTGCGGAAGTTCGAAGGAGTGAGGCAGGCCTGGAGGGAGGGACGAATGAGCATGCGCGTACGCACGTCCAGGAGCCCACCCGTGCGCGCGCTATCGCCGTCTTGCGTGCGCGAGAGAGCGAGTTGGCGGTGGAGGATCGCGGGGGCGGAGTGAGGGTAGACTAGACCGGCGCTGCACTGCTCAGCCGACCTCCCATTCCGAATCGGGGTCGAGCTCCCGCAGACCTATGGAATTGGCACGAAGACGAAAGGTACAAGGGGAAGGAAGAGAGGCTGGACCTGGCAGCCAAGTGAGAAGCAGCCTCGCGCGTTGTAGCCCACGGGGCTTGCGCGTATCGCGCGGGGGTGTGCATACGTGCGTGTGTGACGAGGGAGGAGCGAGGCGGAGAGAAGATGAGCCGAGACAGCGGAGGAGGAAGGGAGGGATCAGCGCGCGCACGGGGGAGAAAATAGGTCAGCAAATGGGAGCGGATGGAGGAAAGTACGCGCTCGCACCTTCTCTGACATGCCCCACCTCCACATGTGCACTTTGCACCTCTCGCCGCGCGCGCGAGAGCGCGTATGCTGGACGGCGACGGGCGCACACGTCCAGAAAGGAGCGGGGGCGGTAGGCGTCCAGAGCGCCCTCGTCCATCGCGTTGCTCGGCTCCCAGGGGAGAGGCTGGGCGGGGGAGATGGGGTGCTACTCGCGGAGGTCGAAGAGGCGTGTGTCGCGGCCGAGAACGGCGGATTCTCCAGCGTCGCGTCAAACACGTACGAGTGTATGGCGAGCGCATGCCCGTCTGCATCCAGCCGTCTGAGCGTAAGCGCGAAAAGAGGCCACGGAAGGCGAGAAAAACTCACGAGGTGGTGGTCCGGGAGCGCCCCGCGCCAGAGCCGCCGTGCATGCGTGGCGGGCGGGCGGCGCGCACAGCGCCGTACTCATCAAAGTCGGCCATCGTCTCTTGATACTGAGGGTCGCAATCGGGAGGGGGGATACGGCAATCTCGGGACTATGACACCAATCGGGACGAGGAAGACGCCAATCGGGACGAGGATTATGTCAATCGGGATGAAGAAGACGCCAGTCGGGACAAGAAGAAAGGACACCAGGAGGACTAGGGAACAAGTGGAAGGGGAGGGGGCATGCCGAGGACTTTCCAGATAATAGTCTCCACAATCGGGAACGAGGGCAGAAGTAGCGCCCGATAGGAAATGGGATATTCTGTAGTGACATCGGCCCGGAATAGTCGTTTATGCGATCGACGCACGCAGGGAGAGGTCCTGGTGGGCTCGGAAGTGTTCTCGAGGTGGACGAACGGGGTCGGTGAATCGGGGAGAATGTGGGGAGCACGCATGATGAGGGCAATGGTCTTCCTGCGCGCTGCCCTCCGATGAGGCGTGTCGTCCTTCGCAATCATCTTCGAGAATGATCCCTGATTGAAGACGCGGCCGTCATTACCAAATGACACAATGAAGTCAGCGATAGGGCTCGCCATGGCCATGTTGTGAGTCTATATCTCATATCTCAGCGATGCGCACATGTTGATAATAACGGGCACTGACCACAAGCAAGACCGTGCGTCCTTGATCACTCTTCGGCCAGTTGTCGACGATCCAGCGTGCCGTGTGCGCGTCCAGTGCTACGAGAACGTCGCCGAGGAGGACAACGTCCGCCTTCGAATAGACGGCGAGGCCTCCGGCCGCTGGACAGCGTAACGCCCTTCTCGCCGCCTTTCATTTGGCCACCCGCCTCGAAGAACGTGAGGTCACGCTCGAGTGCACATTGCGTGATGACTGGGAAGGCTACGTCAGCGCCTTGCATACACGTGGAAGTAGATACCACGCACCCTTGTTGTATCGCTCCTCGTCGGAGCACATCTGCAGGGACACAGCTACCTGCTGGTGGTCGACGATCAGTTGTTGATGCTTGGAGTTCAGGCCTTCGGGCGTGCGTATGAGGGAGTGGTCGTATGTGGGGGCATTGCAGGTATTGGTCTCAGCATTTTGGACTCGCGCTTGAGCCGCAGATTCGGCTTCGACGAGTTCGAAGGCGGTGTAGACAAGAGAAACCATGGGGGTTTGCGAAGCGGCGGGAGACCTGTAGACTTCGTGGAGCAGGGGGTGGATCGCTGTGGGCAATCGGGTATGAGAGAGACCAAGCGGATTATGATGAGGAGCAGACTCACGGCGGGCCCTGGGCAGCTATGGGCATGCAAAGACCACATAGATCCAGCGGGGAGAGTGCGATAGTAGTTATGAGACCAACGATTGCACTGCGCTAAAATTGTGAGCAGACCCGGCGGGATATACAAAACACAAGACTTACGCCCAGTCCAAAACTCGACGTATCCATCATCCGATTCTCCTCTCCACCTGTGCCGGTTGCCCATTGCCTGCCCGCCGCCGCCTTGCAATCTTGATGCTGCCCGAGATGGCAAACGGCAGAGAGGCCGCAGGGGCAGCCTCTCACCGCCATGGTCCGAGGGTTCCACTGACAGCGAGACCCCTCAGCTCAGGAAGATCTCAGGTCGTCCGCGTTCGCTGCGCCGTCTGCGCTCCGAGCTCCGGCGGGAGGCCAGGACAGGACGCTGGACGTCCGCCATCGCGCTCGGGGCGCCGTCTGAGGGAATTGGCCATGGGCATAGAGTGTGGGTAGTCGAAGCTGAAAAGCTGAAGGATGTCGGAGTATGTGGGGCCGGGCTTGCGGAGATGCATGATGAGAGAGAGAGAGAGAGAGAAAGAGAGAGAGTGATGAGAGGAGCGGGAGGGTAGCACCGCCAGGCGTCTCCCATGGAGGTGCGCATCCCGTGCTTGAACGTTGCCTCCGGATCCGCCATCGCCGACTCGCGCCTCGCGCGATCCGGTGCCCTTGTCAATGGCAAAAAAATTCCAACAGAGATGGGAAGTTGGCAATGATGCATGTCTTCGATTAAACGGCACAATAGAATAGTACTTTGACGACTCGACAACTAGAGAGAAACGATGACTGCTGAGAAATGAGAAAAGTTCAAGTATCACAACAACGTCCAACACCCGGCAGAGACGGGGACGAAATGCAAAGACAAGACGCGGAGATGGTGATGGAAAATGGTTGGAGACCGAGACGGTAACGACGGGGCACCAAACAGAGAGTCGTGGACTCGGACTCCCACTATGCCCACACTAGCTCCCTGTCCGCAGAGAGAACAGATGTATGTTATTGAACATGCTCCGCGTCAAGCGACGAAAACCAAACTTACTGATATCCCAAGCCATGCGACGATCCCTATCGGCCTCACTTTTCCTGACGCTCGTCCTCTTCCTCCGCGAGGCGCACCCGGAGAGCCAGCTCATACTCGTTGAGCCACGTAGCGATGGATTCGACGGAGTGGAGAACCTCTGGGAAACGGCTGGTGGGGGCCGTGCTATCGCAGTCGGTTGTGAGGAAAACATAGATCTCATTGAACACATCATTGGCGATGGCGGTCTCGTCGTGCACGATGCGGAGATACTTGAGCGCATCATCCTCCAAGACAGCCCTAACGTGAGATTTGAATCCGGCGAGAGCTGGCATCCCGAGCATTCTCATGACGTCGAGGCCTGAGAGGTAGATCTCGTAAATGTGGTCGGTGCTGTGTTGTGACGAATGAGTCATATCGCAGAAGCCAGATGGCTATGTACATACCTGATAATGATGAACGCAGTGTTATCCAAAGACCGACCCAGAGAAGAGCACGCCCGCCGATTCAGATACTTCAGCTTCCATGCGTCTGACGGAGGCCACGGCGGTCCGACCGATTTGAGTAGATCAGCTTCGCAGGTCGCGATATCAAGGTCATCGTGCGGAGGCAGACACTCTGTAAGTGTAACGCTCAAAGGAGAGCCCGGCTGGGTGTGACGATCAACCATGGCGACGGGTGGGGAGGGAAGGGACACCAAGGATCCGCAGAAGGACTGGGGCCGATGGAAAACAACGAAGCACAACGTGGCCACAAGGGCGCTGTTGGCCGAGGCGAGAACAATGTCTGTGTAGGGATTGCAGGAGTGCTTCAGGAGAAACGACCGGAATTGGATGTAGGGTACGAGGATGTGGACCAAGGGGGAGAGAGCTGCCAAGACAACTGCTACGACGTGCCACAGCTTCATGCTGCTGGAGTCATGAATACTGTGAGTCGCTGTGTTCACGGAATACTTGATGGATTGACGAACCTGCTGATTAGTGGAGGGACGGTGGTGTTGAGACCGGGAGGACACGGTTCGAGGGCGATGGGGGGAAAGGTGGGAGATGGAATGGACGGGGCCGGGCAGCATGGCTGATATATGTGCTGAAGGACAAAGGAATGCGGATCTTCCTCCGGTAACGTGACGATCACGATGCCGGTGGCACCTTGCGCCTCGTTCCTACCGAGCGATGGTCAGACTCGGTACTTCAACAGGGAATTAGGGCGTGTACATACGTGCAACACAATTCTTGGAGGACAAGACGGTCACCCGGAGCACGTCTGCGGCCTCGATAGCGAAGAATCGTCGCACCTCGTCCAGCGAGCTAGACGAAAGGTCCAGCGACCCGACGCATTGGTCGTGTCAACGTTCGCAGTCAAAGACAGAGCAAGAAGCGAACCTGTTCTGTCATTCCACACCGTCTATGCGCACTTCCAATCGTCGCTCCCTCCGCCCTCCGCCGTGTGAACGAGCGCGGGAGCATAGAGCACAGGAGAAGGGTGTCGTCTGGGACGGCCAACACCCCCGCCTTGCCATCTGAGAGACTACGTTCGGAGTCTTGAAGGGACCCCAGGGCTTGAGGAAGGTTCGGGGATCTAGTTCGAACGAGGAGGCGGCTAATCGGCCGCGCGAAGATACCAATCGACGGAATGAGGATGCCAATCGGCCGAATAGGGATGCCGATCGAGGTGAGAGCTAGGCGGTTAACGATGGAGGGGAATTGCGTCGGCGGGTGAAACGCGACCCCAGCAGTGAATTTTATCGTGGTCGACGGGGAATCCTGTGCGTGTTCGTGTTCGTGGGTCGCAGTCGCAAGCCAATTCGCGCAATCGGGGCAAGGGCCTGGGTAACGCCCGAGAGCATGGAACGTCCATATCTGTACCTCTGCCGCGATGATGCTGGGTATCAAGTAGGCGACTCGAGGCGGAGAGGTCGTTGAATCGGGAGGGTGCGAGAGACGTGCATGGCGAGGGCGACTGTCCTCGGGTACATGGCAACACCGAGGGCGCGGCTCCGTCGAGATCGCGAACGTGGCCGTCCATCGTCACTCGAAAAAGTGCCTGATGCATTTGAAGGCGTCGTGAAGGCGGGGCACGGACTATCAGGGACATTGGATGTGAGGGAGACGAAACAGGCGTTGAACGAAAGCAGACGCACGGCAGCAAGCGTACGGACAACGCGGAACGGACTTGATGATGGCAACGGCACGTGAGGAAGTCTTGGGCGTGTTTGAGAAGGTTTGAGGGCGCGCGAGGAAACGCAGAATGGGCAAACGGTCGATGCGCCGACGTGCCGCCCGCCCCCAATCCCATCCTAGGCCGATTCAAGATCTAGTCTACACGTCAACGATGGCTCGCAAATCCATTGAAAATACACACACCTGTCCGAAGTCGCCCTCCGCCCGTCGCCCGTCTCCTGCAGCCCGTCTCACGTCTCACGTCTCCCGTAGCCCGCCGCCGTCTTGCAGTCTTGGTACCGCCCGAGATGGCAGATGGCAGAGAGGCCGCAGGGGCAGCCTCTCGCCGCCATGGTCCGGGTGCTCCGCCGATGGCGGGAGCCCTCACCTCAAGGCGTTCTCAGGTCGTGGGTGTTCACCCGATCGTCTGCGCTCCAAGTTCTGGTAGAGCGTGAGGGCAGGATGCCGAGCGTCCGCCGTCGCTCCTGGTGCGTCGTCTGGCGAGAATGTCATCTTAGTGAATGGGCGAGGCGGGATAATTCAAACTGCTCACAGCAGGGCAAGTAGAGACGGTGTGCATGTGGTGGGGAGAGAGGAAATGCGCGTCGCGACTTGCGCCACCGCACGCAGCTGAGGAAGCGCGTGTTGGTGGCGACTCAAGACCTAGTCAGACTACTAGTCACTGAAATAGCCATCCAAGCCACTGCATCTGGACGTTATCGAAGCGTGGCACCCAGTTCTGGAAGAAGTGGTGGACCCACACGGACAGCCAAAAGCGGAAGCCGATGTCCAAAGAAGACCAGGCAGTATATTAGGACCGAAAGTCGGCATGCGCGACAACGGCGCAGGGTCACAAGCCTGGCGCAAAGCGGGCTGCGGTCATGCGTCAGGCGGGAGAAGAAATCAACGGCCACAGGAAAAGCCTCTCCGACGCGATTCTTCGCATGCGGCGCTCGAACCACCCAGCTCGGGTTCTCGCGCTCAAAGCTGCAGCAGCGTTCCGATTGACCTGTTGACTCCGAGACATGCGCGCACGGTTTTCCTCTTGAGTTGTCCCGCCGTCCGCCGTGTCAATCTCTCTCGATCTCTCTCTCTCGTCGCCCCAGCGAGCTTCTTTCCATCACTAGTATGTGCAATATCGCCCGACGCGCTCTACTTGATTCGACCAAATTCTACGAGACTACGCGTCGCGCATTTGCGTGGTCATATGTATGAGATTGTGATATTGTGTGTCTGTGTAATACCCGTCAGTATTTCGACCAACCACAGCTATCAAGGGACATACCGCAACAGCAATCCAAATGGCGCAGAACACACCTATAACCCCGACAACCAAAATATTGGTCCCTGTCTATCCCGCCGATTAGAGCATTTCTAAATACGCAGCAATGAACAGATCCCAGCTCACATGCATGGCCAAATGGTAGGGCGACGTTGTCGACGCTAAACGAATCGGGATTTCTTTTAGAAAAATGTCACGAGCAAGGAAACAGTTCTCTCACCGAAGTCAGACTTGGTCCAAATCATGGGAGAGCCATGGTTCATATCAAACGGACCTGCCACAATGAGATATCGCCCTCTTGCTCGATCATGAACAGCCTTCAACTTTGCGTCAATAAAGTCTCTAGTCGGAAGAATCGAGGTTCCACTCACATCGATAACGGATATGCTATACCCTAGAAGTATAGCATCGATCCAGGGTCAGCATAGTATACGCAGGCATATAGAACGTACCGTATCGTGGGAAGGTCTGCAATTTTGATCCAGAGGAAGCATCCCAGATCACCATCTCCCCCGTCGAGCTGCCGCTCAAGAAAAACATCTCGTCCTCAATGAAACACACTGGGATCGCGCAGTCGTCATGGACGCAATGCTCGAAAGAGTGCGTGGTCGTGCCGCTATCCAAAGAGTAGCGATCGAAACCAGTTTTTGCGTTCCACGCAACCAGGTGCTGGCCATTCGGACTGACGCAGGCACGCGCACTAGGTGAAGCGTCAGAGCATGTTGGAGGAACAGAAATCAATATTCACATTTGTCGTTGATATGAGTGATTGACCGCACAGGTCCACTGCCTTGTTTCAAACACTCTGTCAATGTATCGCATCATTTCGCCCCATTGATAGATGCTGCGTCAGAACATACTTGATTCCGTGCTTCAGGTAAGTCGCCACCAGGGTGAGCTCTCCCCGAGGCTGCAACCAATGCAGGCTCGAGAGCACAATTTCTCCTGATCCCTGATTGAGCTCTTGTTCCGCCGGCTTCGAGATGGTGGCTCGGATTGGCCAGGAACCTAGCTCATTTGCGTATCGCCAACATGCAATATGGAAGAGTCCTGAACGACGACATACCATTTCTATCCCACTCCCACACCTTGATCTCATTAGATCCCCCGGAGGCAACCAAATTATCCGTGATAGTGATGCAATCTACCGGCCTAGAATGCATGTGGACACCTAGCGCTTCGATACGTTGCTAGCGAGGATACGCAATGAGTTCCTTTGAATGTGCAAATAAACCGGCATGACTTGCCTGGCTGAGATGCACCGAGACGACATACCCATTGGCTAGGCCAGCCAGAAATGTGTGTTTGTGAAGAGGCAACCAAGAGAGAGAGACTGCGTAGCTGTCGCCCAAGATCTCATAGCGAAGCGTCATGGTGGAGACCTCCCAAACAGAGATTGTCTTGTCGCTGGCCGCGACCGCAAGGTAGTCCGCGCACGGACTGAACTTGACAACGGTAATCGGAGTGCCCGAGCCAGCGGGGAGGGGCGCGAGGGGAGAATACGGTTTGAACATGACGAATATACATGGAGGGGAGGCAGAACCCAAGCGCTTGAATGGCGAGAGGTCGTAAGGCGTCAAAATAATAATTGTCCAGGGACGGAAAGTGAATCGTGCATGTTTGTCCTAGTGGCAATACTCTGGCGTCCAGATAAACCATGCATCCTTGTATATCAAAGAGGCTAGTGCCGTGTGGTCCAAAGTGGCGGAAGTACCTGCCTCCGATAGGGGACACGCGCCGACAACACACGACCTACACTCTCGCTCCCTTCTTTGCCCTTGCGCTCCTCACCGTCGGCGCCGGCCGCTTCCACTTCCCCAACGCCACCTCAACCGCGTCCGCCAGCCTCTGCGACAGCGTCAGCTCTGCCTCGATCTCCGGGTCGAGATCCCCGCTGCGACTCGCGCGCGCCTGCGCCCACCGCCCAAGCCACCGCCGGCCGGTTGAGCAGGTGCTTGAGCCACGTGAGCTCGACGTGCTGCTGCGGGTTCGCATACCCAACCGGGATGCCGAGCCTGGTGCTCGCTGACGCGGGCTCGTCCTCGCGCCCGAAGGTCGTTGTAGGAAAGCGACTACTGCAGCCACAGGCCCCCGTTAAGTTTCCGCGTTCGTGATGTCTACCATCATCGCCTCCATCGCCTTCTCCTTGCCCTTCATACCGGGGGTTGCATATGTTGCGGCACAACCGGTTCCGCCGGCGGGATTGAGCTCGTCCACATCAGGCATGCACAACGGTGGTGCGAGCGGGATCTCGCCCGTCCGCGCATTGAATGACCGGGCCAGCCGCGCGACGTCAACGAGGGGGATCCCCCACTCCAGCGCCTGGTCCGCCTTCGCGCCGACCCCAGATAGGCCCAGTAAGTGCGTTGACCGGCGTGAAAGGTTCGGCGCGAGCGCTATGCCTGTCGTCGTAGATTAGTATCTCGGACCAAGAGAGAAGCCCGACCGAGGGCAGAAAAGCGGCGGCAGGCACTCACCGAGTGCACGAAGCAGCCGCCTGCCCCAAAACGCCTCCGCGTGGCCTGGCCGAAGATGCAGGTATAATACAGGAGATGCTCCTCTCCAACGCTCACCGCGTCCTGTGGTCCGGACACGGATTCGTCGCCGAGGCTGAGGCGCAGGTGGAGGGGGCGGGCGTGTCCGTGCATCTCTGTGAGAGGTTCATCTTCAGGAAGGAGAGACGACAGGTGCCCGTTCCGCGTCGATCGGGACGGTTCAATCGCATGGACGGCGCTGCGGGTGCTGCATGTCGACGTGTGTTCTTTGGCGTCCGCGAGCGCGTGTAAACCCTCTGAGACCGACGAAGGTTAGTGACAATGTTGAGAGGACGAGGGCGGCAAAGAGGGGAACAATGACGGCAGGGAAGACGAAGACGAAGACGCTGGATGCAGTGAAAAAAGCGACGACGACCGGCTTGACGAAGACCGTACCTATCTCGCAGACCCCCACACAAAAGTGGAGACCCTTCACACCGCACCGAGCTCGCCCTCAAGAAGCCCATCCGCCTCCAAGGCTCCGCCCGCCCGGCCTCAATCTCTCTACCCTCTGCGGCCCGTTGTGATCTAGCTCGAGCGGCGCAGTATGGTCTGCGCGCTCGCCGTGCTCACACCGCTAGCCTTAGGGCGAGGGGCGGAAAGGCTGATGTAGGGAGTGGACGAGGCAGACTTAATGGACGAGGGAATGACCCGCAGGAGTGCATAGTAACATCAATTTTCAAGCATGCAGCGGGCTGCGGACAAAATTTTGATGCAGTGCGCGCGTGCCGACACGGATATGCACATGCAAAGAGGGGTGCTCAACGGACGCGACGAGAACCGTGCTCGACCAGCATGCTTCGTCCAATTTGCGAATGCTTGATTCGACGACCAGATAATCGACTTCGTGGAAGTCAATCATCAGGACCTCGCGCTTGCAAGATAGAAAGAGGGGAATGCGTCGAATAGACAGGTTCAAGTAAAAGGACGTGCCTGATCCCCAGCGACGCCCATTGATCATCTCGCCATAGCACTGAGGCAGGCTTAGTAGTCTGTAGAGCGATGACTATGTGTCGGAGCCTAGCTGAGCCTAACTCAGACGGGGTCGAGAAATTTGCTGCGACACAGTTGGATAGCTGGCGAATATTTTGAGAGTAGAGGCATCCGAGAGATGTGCATATAGTTGAGAGGGTCGATGGTGTAGTAGAAGAAGGCAGCTGCGGGGTCAGGTGGCAGGCAACGATGTGCGGTCTCGCGCACATGCTCGTGACATGTGGTCAACTTACATACAGCTGCGTGCAGAAAGCTTATCTGCATGTTTATCGAGTCAGAGCTGCGCATAGCAACGAACCCCATAGATTATTGCAAGATGGATGGAAGCCAGGATGGAAACCAGGATGGAGTCGAGTCGGATCTCAATTCCCAGCACTTTTGGCCTGGATCGCGCGCTTTCCGCCAGGATTGGAGCTTCAATATCCGATCCGCCCTGGAGAGCGAGAGCAGGCGAGTGCGAAGAAGTAAAGACAATGAATATGGGCCTATGTCACTTAGAGGCGCAGCCGCCATGTTGCGGGTCGGGTCGAGAACTGTGCCAGGCAGCCTCCCGAAGAACAAGGCGAAAATTGAGGGTGGATTCGAGTCGAGATCGCGAATGCGCAGAAGAGACCATTCACATGACCAGCTCCATAGTAAGAACGCGAAGTCCACGTATGCATATGAGATGGTTACGTCTACTCCGATATATCGGCCTCTCGGGGTACAATATACAAGTACTTGGTCACGAGCTACTTAACATGCCCGATCTGATTGCTAGGACCTCCGTCGTAGAGTCCGTGGGTTCGATCATATTTCTTTGCCGTCGTTCAGCGTCCCCAGACGGTTGAAGCGGGTGCTGAGCATTTTGAACCAGGACAGCTGGTGCGCAACATGCCAGAAGGTGTTGTCATCGTTGAAAGCGACGTTGAACAGAAACCCGGTGCCCCAGAATCCAATGACGCGCGTACACTGAAGGGGAAGGATCGTTTGAACATCGGAAGAGACCGCCACTTTGCCACAAAAAGGAATAGGGCGTACCTCCATTATACTGAACGCGAGCTGTTCTCCCGGCACGGTCAGACGCGTTACCAAACGACGCACGCCGATATCGCAGCCACTATCATTGAGTTCAAACAAGTCTATATTGCCTAAACCATTGGGGCACGTTTGAGCGATCCGTCCGTGAGGTAAGTTCAGGGCCGTGGACTCACATCGCGTCGGTCCGACTTGTACAACCTCTAAGCCGACGTCGCGGTAGGTCATATCTTCGCCCTCCGCTTGAGTCACACCCATATTGACAATGATAGGTGAAAATCCAGGGCGAGTCATCTCCACTTTTCTAGGAAGATGCGCTCATAAGCAACTAGCCAATAGTCGATCATGCGCTACTCACAACTTGCAAAGCGGTACGTGGATTGCCTCGCGTCTTGTTGAGACCGGCAGTGCGGAATATTTCGGCCAGGTAATGCCTATTTATCTGAACAGGGGACCCGCGATATAGACCTTTGTTTGAGGGAGGCATTTGGGCACGATGAGAAGTCAAACAATCAGCTTTATCAACTGCTACAAAGACGCTAGCATATCACCGTGCTTGAATCACGATTCTCCCGGCTCTCCAGAGATCCGTACGTTTGTGGCTTCTCGATATGAAAAACCCGCAGCACCTCCTCACACCTGCTTTCCCTCACACCCGTGACGCTAGCTGAGCCAGCTTTCGCGGGTCGGAGCGCCGCACCGCACGCCTCTAGACTGATCGCATCTGGCCCTGCGCGGCAGCTTGGGAAAGGAACACTGCGGCGCCGCGGGCGGATCCGAACGCTCGCGCCCCCGGTAGTCACGATGTGATGCGCCGTGACGTGGGGTGACCCGCCGCGGGCGAGGTTGAACGTCATGTGGGATAGACGCCGGGTGCGATGCGCCGCGCCCGCGGATGGAGGCTCGAGGAGGAGGCCCGCGGCCCCGCGCGGCCGCAGGGCCTTCTCAGGCAACTCTGCTCTCTCTATTTTTCGAAATTCGACGCCAATCAATACCATTCCAGTCACTGCACAACCCAAAGAGATGCTTCGCGGTAGGGGTGAGGCAAGAGATGGCCGCAGCCGCGGGTAAAGCGCAAGGGACTCCGCAGATTTACTTTCCTGCTCTCTTGCGCATACCTTGTTTCGACTCTCATGGATCCCCGCAGGTGCTATCTATCCTCGTGTTCGTGCCACTTATCCTCGTGCTTGTGCCACCGAACACGAAGTCATGCATTGTTCCTTCGGATCTGCGAGCAGCGACATCGATGCTCACTTCCTTCTTCCGGTGCTCCCCTCTCCCTGCTAGTTCAGCCCTCTCCATTTCATGGCTCCTAAGACATACCTTCAGTGTAAGTTTTGAGTTCTGGTTTGCGTTATGTTGCTGACAGACCTCGCTGTAGGTGTGCAAGCCGCGCTCAGCGCTGCCTTGAAGGAGAACAAAGACAAGGTCTCTCAGGAAGATGTTCGTTTCATCGGTGAGATATAATCAGCGTATAGATCTTGTCGTCATACCAAAGGATTTTACAGTCTTAGAGATGTTTGAGCTTGAAGGTAGATTGCCTGGTCCAAACTATGAAACATTCGTGGAGGTTGCCCTCCTCCGTGAGGTTGTGTGCTGCGCCTTTGAAACCAGTTCAGGCTCGCTGACACATAGTTTCAGGTGAAGTCTCGCCGTGTTGAGAAAACCTCAGGGGATGCTCCCGGCACATACCGCATCACAAAAGCGGGTCTCGATTTGTTAGTGGTTTGTGCGCTCCAGTTGACACCGAGCTCTGATCGACATGGCTCCAGCTACAAGTCCTTCGGCAAGTTTCCGTTGTTATCAAGAGGAGATCGGAGGCTGGAGCGTATGTCAATGAAGAAGGTACGCTCGATTGTGTTTGTGCATGCGTTTCACGTATGAATATACATGTCAGATCGCTCGCCATATACGTGTGCTTCGCAGTGTACTCAAGGACTGCCAAAGTACGCTAAGGGATATCTGCCCTACAGCTGGCGAGGAAGACTCCGTCGTGGACATGGTACATACCGTTTCCCTGCTCGATTCACAGAACGGCATGGGCTGACCTGCGATTGGCTAGACTAAAGTGGTCTCGGATGCGATCGAACTCGAAGTCAACCAGGTTCGTACGACATCACTCCTAGATTTTCGAGGACTGATGATATTGCAGAACATTGTTCTTAACAAGATCTTGGAGGAAAAATGCAGCGAGAAGAGGAACTTGTACGAATACCACCTATGAAGTGATTGTTCTCTTCGCGCACCATCTGTATGATGCTCGCTCTATATATTGAATGTAGAATGATTATACTTGAACTAGCCATGAGCGCTGCACACATGATTGGTGATTTTTCCGTAGACGACGAATATGGAGACCGAGTAGCCTTTGTGCACAGTGAATCAGTAAGTAGAGGCGGAAAGGCACGTATTCAACTGGCAGGCCAGCATGAAGGTCGCGACGTCGAACTGTCTTCTGCGATCTCTACGTCCCAATCGAAGTCCTCCTTCATCATGCGCTGCAGGAGGAGGAGGAGGAGGAGGAGGAGGAGTTGATGAATTCAGCCCCACCACGACGCGCCGCTAGTAGCGCCATTCGGTCGCAGCCTACCATGTGGGCCACCAAAGCGCACACCACTCGACCCCGCCGTCATCCACCGCCGAGCAAACGATTCGGAACTGCATGTAATTGTGCTGAAATAACCGTACGAGATCAGAACATGCCCAGCCTTGTTGGCGTTCACCGTTTTCCGCCAGTCACAGAACCTGACCCCCGATGAGAGCGACATGTCTACCTCCCACTTCAACCCCACCCATTCGTACAAGCCAGGCCTGTAGCTCCAGAAGAAGCTCCAAGGCCATCCTCACAGCCCACCCCTGCACTACGGACGACGCGCGCATTGAGATCTGACGTACATCCACTAGCATCGCACTGATCATCGTGCAGAGATGCCCCATCCCGACCATGGCCACCGTCAGCGCCGTGGTGATCTGGAAACGGGTCAGAGATCTGTAGTGTGCACGTCTCTGATCGCCACTTACTTGCGCTATCAACAGTCGTCCCAACAAGAACCAAGGTGGGTATGTAACTAACCACAACGATACCAAGCCCACGAACACGACGGTAAAGACGGTCAGGCCATGTTTGACTCCGTCGGTTGGATCGAATAGCTTGTTCGTCTGTGTAATTGTAAGCAGACGGATGCAAACGGAGCGGCGCTCTCTTACCACGATGGCGTCGATCATCTGTGCGATATCGTCGACAAAGACATCTTGCTGCCGAGAGTCAACTGCACCTGACGTCAATGAATGTTGAATCTGGCCGAGGCACAGAGTCGCTCACCCAAATTCGCCGCCCACACCTTGATCTGAGGACGCCCCCCGCTCCCGATAGAGCCAGTCGCAATGTAGCTTTTGTTCTGCTTCACAACAGCCTAGGTCTCCGTGAGTGAAACAATTCGAACAACAGGGCACGACTACTCACACTGATGGCTTGTACAATATCGCCTACAATTCCTGTACTGTTAGCAGTCAGAACGGTATACAAGCGCGTCGGTGACGCACTATCATGATGCAGGTCCTGGAAGACATTGGCGGAGGCAACATCCCAGATGCGTACATTGCCGTTCGTGGTCCCGCAGAACAGTTGCGCCCCATAATTGATGAATTGTACGGGTAGACGGTGTTTGGAGTGGGGGCGCTCATCGAGAGGGTACGTCTTGCGGGGCCTTTGCTTGCCATGGTACGCAATATCGTACATGTCAACGCCACTGACAGAATTATACACGGCGAGCAATCTAACTGGGGCGAACAGAACTGCGCCTGCTCTGTGCAGAGTCATTCCGGGTGCCACACGAAGCTCAGCGGATGACATACATGGTCGGAGTAGCCACCGGGAGGGAGATTTCCCAAAGGCGTCCATGAGTACTGGTATCCCAGCAGCTATACTCGTGATCAGCGACTGTAGTTTGAACAAGTCACGAATGCACGTACACAATGCCATGAGACACGTAAGAAACGATAAGATTCTTGCCATCTTTGTGGAAGGACACATCAATAGCGACCACCTTCTTTGCGTTGAGATGCACCCTGTCAGGACCCTGCAGCACTTCTGGAGACAAAGGTTCAGGGAGCGTTATAATACCAGCATATACATCTGGGACACAATATGTGAATATACGAAGATTTCTGGTCAAGAGAGTACTCAACTGCGCTGGCATTCGCGTGTGACATATACACGACTGCCCATACCAACGGCAAGGCATCTTGTGGTGTCGTCGTAGGCCACGCAATGTATTGCTTGCTTGCCCCCCAGGCGGATCTCAACCTGCTCGTAGTCGCGCTAGAGAAGGAAGGGTCGGTTCCCGGATCCTGAGTGGAGATGGACCGAAGCGTACCAATGAGCCAAATCCACTGAGTTGTTGAAGATCGCCATTCGATAGGCCAACGATGAGAGATCCAGGATAGATGGGATGCCACAGGAGAATGTCGACGGAGTTCTCGAAAATAACACGACACTTCGGCTTCCTTTCGGCAGGATCCCATACGACGAGCTTTCCATCGTCGCCACCGCTGGCAAGGAGACATCCGTCGTGCGAGAAGGACAAGCAGTTGATGGGATCGGCGTGTTCGTCTGATAAATTGGCAACTTGAATGAACGGGGAGCACGAGAGCTGCGAGCGTTGCATGTTGGGGGAGGAGTAGAAAGAATGCGTCAAGTGTTGGCTCAGGCGGACAGGGTCTTCTGAGGTCTGAAGTATGCGGTCAAAACACACGGAAGAGCAGCGTCTCTGACACGCGCTCGAATTGTAAAAGAGGCTTTGGCTACCGAGAGCTTTGTTTGGAGCGCGAGGCATGTGGTGAAGCGCAAGAACTCACTATCGTCACAAGAAAGCAACTGCTTGAGGAGGAGCAACACCAAAGAGAGAGTGGACTAAGGTCATGATTGGCGGGGGAGCGAGGAGATGCATGGTGCCTTTGGTCGAAAGGCAATGAGCGCTCGGAACCTTTGACCAACAGCACAAGCTAAGCGCACGGAACCCCGGCCCGCCCGGCCCTCTTTGTTGGAAGTCCAGCTCACAACTACGAAACGCCTGATGCACGAGTCCAGGTAATCGCGGGGATGCGTATGTAATCCTGCAGAATCGTGCAAATAAGCGCCGAACCCGTTCATAATCGTGCAGAAGTGCGCTCTAATGGGACTATAAAGCTCGTATAATGCGGGTTATTACACTACTATTGATGCTGTATGTGGGATACGTAATACACGCGCTCGACTTGTCGCCGCCCTGGTACCCCCTACTATTCCGCCCGAACCCACTGCCTTGCAGGAGACAGACGGCGGACAAGTCCTTGGGGAACTCGGCATTGCAAGCAGCTGCCGGATGGGGACGGCTCACGCAAGCACGCAGCGGTGCGTGGTGCGACACGGATACATAATTGTGCACCAATCTGTGCGTGCATCCACGCAGCGCAGTGGGCTGCATCCTCGGATCGGCACGCAGCACGAGGCGCGCGCGGCCGAGTCGTCGGCGAGTGGGATGAAGGTGGGCGGCTGTCGCGCTTTCATCTCAGAGGGAGGCTCGGGAGCTCAGTGTGACCCCGCGAGCGTGGTGGAAGAGTAGAGACGGTGGTAAGCAGTGGACATGGGTCAGTTGGTATGCAAAGTACATAAGTGATCGTCGGCCAACGTCGTGATTGATAGAGAGGGGGCAGGGGGATCATCACGGACAAAGGAGGAAGGTGGAGGTGGGCCTGGAACCGTCGTCCGAAGAAGTACCCTGAGACCAGGAACGGACGTGGGAAAACAGATATGAGCGGGGAGTTTGATGGGATGCCAGTGGAGACGGCAGTTGAACAGCCTGCACGGGTTCCGATACCGGCGTCGTCGCGTTCACCAGGGGGCATAGCTACTGGTATTGTTGTTGCTGTTGCTCGCGGCGCCATGTTTACGCGGTGCCCGATGACGGGTGACGCCGCCGCCAAGCTGTACGATGGTGGGGAGAGCGCGGGATGACGAGTCCAGCGGGCGCAGGGCCGTCCGGGTGTGCCGCGGTTTGCACGAGTCCGGCAGCGGGGCGCGCACAGCGGGCGAGCGGGGCCTCGGAGGGCGAGACGTCGCGCGGGAGGAGCCCGAGCCCGAAGGGAATGGTTCTTCGTGCTCGAGGAGGCCCTCAAAGCCGAGCCCGCCGGCACGCCCGCCGGCGCCGGCGCGAGATAGGAGCGGGAGGCGGCCCCAGCTGGGGACTGGCGATGGAGCGACGGGGAGGCGGGCTGGCGGGAGCGTGCGGGTGCCGGAGGAGCGCACGAGCGGGAAGCCGAGGAAGGGGGTGTTGGAGGAGCGCGGGGATGCCGGGCGGGAAAAGGCTGAGCAGGGACGGCGGGGAGGGCGAGCGCGCATGGCGGTGGGGGGCGGGCGGGGCTGACGGGAAGAGGGAGAGGATTACTCGCCGAGGTCGCTTTCACGCTCGGGCGCGGCACCGGCGGGAGCACCGAGTCCTGGGTGGCCTTCAGCGCGTCGTAGATATCGGACTCGCGGGGTTTAGGGTGAGACGCAGGTCGTGGAGGTTGACGTCGTCGTCGAGGAGCTAGCGGCATACGAGAGGCGAGGAGGTCCGCGTGGACGGCGTCCTTGACAGCGTCGAGGTAGGCGCGAGAGAGCATGGAGGGCAGGGAGGCGGGGGACGAGCCTATGCGCGAGCCAGAGGCACAGTGCTTGCGGGCCCTGGCATCTTGAGGAGTATGCACTCGTCGAGCGAGCCGCCGACAGAGTCGACGAGCTTGAAGGACGACTTGCCAGGCGGGACGCAGGCGGAGACATCGTGGGCAGTGGGAAGGGCGAGTTTGGTGCGGTGCGGAAGTCTTTGGAGCCACACCCCCCCTCGGTCGACTCGTCGCTGACCCCGCTGATGTGCGGCGCAAGGCTCGTGGCTGCGGTGAATGTCACGCGCACAGGGCTCCAGCTCGTGCACGCGGTCGTGTCACTGCTCGGTGTTTGTGCTTGTGCTCGGGCCAGAAAGGGGGAGGACGGCGTCAGGACCTAAGGAGATGAAGCCTGAGGGGGAGTATATAACCGGTGTGGGCAACGGACATAGGGATTGGGAGATGCAAGCCGGCGCAGGTGGTGCTCTAGGCAAGTGTGACAGGCGATTGTGAGGGCGCGCGGGCGAGGGCGTGGGTGCCGGGAGGTGGAGGCGGTGGGTTCCGGGAGGAGGAAACAGGAGGGGAACGTGCGGGCGAACGAGTCCTCGGGGACGAGGGTGAGGAGCGTGCTCTCGATCGTCTCCGTGCTAGACACCGCGTCCGACGCCGGGGTTGATGGGGGCACGGACTAGCCAGCCCTTCTCCAACCCGCAGGCGAATCGGCCACATGTATGAACCCCAACCCTGTGGAAGCCGATGGGGCATGAGTGTGGCACAATGCAGCCCGGGTCACAAGAACTCACAAACGGGAGAAGGAGCCCCTCGTGAACATCGAGTCTGACAGGTTGACGGGTAGAGATGGTGGAGGACGCCAAAGGATATGGTGCCGTCCCGCCATCTGGCCTAGGGCTGTGAGAGGAACGAGAAGGAGGAGCGTGGCGAACGCCACTAGGTGAACCTAGTGACGTCGCAGAGCACGTCTGGTCCGGGCCGTGACGCCCGCACCGTCATGCCCCGCGCAGGCCCGCATCTGGACGACTCGCCGTCTGCAGGCCGCGCGATCACACATCATCCTGGTCGCTAGCCCTGGCACCGTCTTCATGGGCATCGTGGGCGTCGAGATAATCATTTCGAGGCCATCATCGTCAGATTGGTTGTCTGGCCTGGGGCTCTGGGAGTAACGAGCAGGAGTCGTCGTCAGAACGTGTAGTCCATAGTGCGAAAGCCCTCAGGTACGTACTTGCATCTCGCCCCCATGCACTGCGCTTCATCCTGCCCTAGTCGGAGTGTGGCGAGCACCGCTAGGCGAACCTAGTGACGTCGCAGAGCACGTCTGGTCCGGGCCGTGACGCCCGCACCGTCATGCCCCGCGCAGGCCCGCATCTGGACGATTCGCCGTCTGCAGGCCGCGCGATCACACTTCCGAGGCAGAACACCGCCAAGTAGGGGGGAGAAGCAGACAGTGGACGCGTGAGGAAGTCATGAGAGAAGCGTAGGCGAGACGGGTGAAGCGAAATGGTGACGCGGATGACGCGGATGGAAAAGGGCAAGGCGGCGGGGAGGACGAGAGCACAACAGGAGAGTGCGAAGAGGGGCGGGCGCAAGAAGGGTGAGCTGGCAGTGCCAAGCGCCAGAGTCCGCGCGTCGATTCCCACGCGTCTGGAGGTGCCTCTACCAGCGCGTCTTTCCGGACTTCGTACGCCACTGGCACCCGTCCTCCTCGTTCTTCCCGTCCTCCCCATCCTCCCCGTCATTTCCTTCTGGCGCAACATCCTCGATGAGCACACGAACGCGCTCCTCGCCCACCGCTTCCTCGACGAGCTGTTGCGGCTCCCTTGGTCTCGGTGAGTCTCCCGTTCTGCTCTCTTGCGCTCCCCGCCTCGTCCGCCGTCTCCCAGTCTCCGGCCGCGCCGCCGGACCCGTCCCGCAACGTGTACGTCCCAACGGATGCGCACGGGACGCTCGTCCCGCCGGTGCAGCCGCCTTGGATCCTTACCCGCAACGGCCCCGGCTCCTTCGCGGGGGTTCCACTTCGCGTCGCCCGCCTGGCCCTCGCGCGCGTTGCGCGCGTCCATGCCGGCGACCTCGTTCGAGTCACCTACCTCGCCCGCCTCTCCCGTCTCGCGCCCGGGTCAACACCGTCCACTTTCCCCGCCTGCATCGCCAACCTATCGCCCAGCCCATGGCATTTTCTTCTCCTGCTCGGCCCGATGTCGCCTCGGCAGCAAGCACGCCGGATCCGCCTCAGCCTCTCCCCGCGGCGGTGCGACCTCGCATGCGGGGGCCGCTGCAGTACACCTGGAGGACTACCCACAGACACTGGTGTCTGCGTACCGCATGGACGACCAGCGCGTGCCCGCGGTGCCCGAGGTAAGCTTCCATAGTCAGCCTCAGAACGTCGTGTTCGCTGACATGAGGTACTGCCCATGGTCGTGCAAACGGCCTCAGCATTCAGCTTACGACCGCGTCGCCCACATCGCCCATCCACATCATTCGCGTCGTCCGCCTCGCTCGCACCCACATCGCCCGCCCCCGTCCGCGTCGTCCCCGCGCCATCGTCTCCCTCGCACGCACACATATCATACGCAACCACGTCCCGTGTCGCCCACTTCGCCCGTGTCACCCACGTCGCCAGCCGCGGTCCGCGTCATGTCTTCCCCTCGCTCACCCACATCACCACCTCCCCTGTGTCGCCCGCGCCTCCTGCATCGCCTACGCGGTCCATGTGGACGGTCAAGCTCGTTGTACCAGACGAGGGTGTGGCTAGAGACACACCTTTGTTGCTAGTGCGGTTAGATAATGGTAGTTCCCAATATACTTCATTTCTCACACACCTCCATGCTGTTGTGAATCATCAATCAATTCTCAGTGATAAGTTGGATGGCATGAACGACAATCAAGACCAAATTACTACTGTCTGGAACCACCACCACTGGCCTCGTTTGCCGACCTGTTCTTCTTACCACCCCTCTTACCCCTCTTCTGCTTTTTCTTTCCAGCGCGGCCATGTTCATGCGCTCCACGAGATCCAGCTTCTACTCGACTACGTCCTTCATCATTCCAAAGAGCAAGTATGGCTGCATAGACCTCATCCCTATTGTAGCGGTTGGTTGAGATCAGTTTGGACATCTTCTCAGTCCACAGATGCCTGTGCTTTGAACACCTGCGGCAGTGCTATGAGCCCATTAATACCCTGAAGTGGTGTTGAATTCTTACATGTGGTTCAGCATTCCAGCTCGGGTAAGTTTGGGCTCAACACAACCGGGTGAGGGGCAGGGGTAGACCCTCATGCTGCTGGGCCCTGGTGTGATAATTAAGTGGAGCTCTACGTCTATAGTGACTGCACTTACCAATGGACGCGAGTACATTGTCAATGAAGGGGGCCATATTTGACCAAATACGGAAGAGCAGCGCGTTCAATTGCAGAATGTCCTCACCCGAGTGGCCTCCGCCTCGCAGGCGGTGATCTCGTTGACTAGTGAGGAGCTTTGCAGTGATATGGAGATTCTGAAGAGATATGAAGTCGCACGCAGCTTTGATGGCATTCTGAGTGTTTCGAACCTATGAGCGGCATCAATATGCATATATCAGGCCATGCAAGGTGTAAAGATCTTACTTGATGCGCACAACCTGCTGGAATGAAGACCATGTCACCAACATACTGTTCGATTGTATAAACCACCACGCCGATGGCTACGAGATCGGAAAGCATGGTTTCGGTGAGCCACACGGTCTGCGAGTGAATGGGGTGGACGTTCTTGACGCCATGGGTCTCAATGAGGTATCGGCAAATCTGGTCTGAATCTTCAAAGCGGAAGACTTGCCAAATCGCACCGGGCCGCGATGGATCCGAGCACCACAACATGTTGTTGACAGCGCACGTAACATCGGCGTGGAGGTTCGTGGTGCCGAAGTTCGCATTTTGATTGCCATTCGCGACGTACATCTTTGGGCCTAGGAACAGCATGTTAGCGTTTGATTAACCGCAATGCTGAGGGAACCATACCGAGATCTGGCTTGTTATCGTTGTCAGCGTAGAACGATGCCATGTTCATGATACCGTCCGCCTTGCACATCTCTTTGCAACCTTCTGGAATCATGAAATAGAACGACTTGAATAGCTTTGGGAACGTTGCCAAGAAATCATTCCTCGAAGGCCAATCCTGCGAGTGAACGATCAGCTAACAGGAGCACGATATGAACAAAACGGGCCACTCACCTTCAGCTTCAGTGGAGGGGTATCACTGAAGTCCGCGTTTTCGAGCTTCGAAAAGAAACTGCCAACAGTGTGACCTTTCACTGTTTGGCCTGTGAGGCAGTTGATCGGGGAAACCTTGACGGCACAGAAGTCCTGTGCTAGTTCGCTGGGTGTCCAGCGCCCCACCACGGCAATACCACGAACAACTACAGGGGCCCGTTTTTCCCATGCAGCTGCGAACGATTCCTGTGTGACGGCATCACCTCGCAAGATGAGAACTTCTGTCTGTCGTGTCTGTGCAGGGACAACACTGGACGACGGTTAGACATACCACAGGCGTGATAAGGGAGATGAGCGCACTAGGCACAAGATGCTTGCTTGATCTGAGAAAACAAGTCATCGAAGTCATGCTGGAAACGAATCTGGGTGATTGGCACAAAGTCGTCCCGGTGAGGCGGAACGGATGGAGTGCGAGAGCACTGGTGCTCATCAGGAGAATGCAGTGGCAACTAAAGAAACCGACAGCTAGTAAGGTAAAGCGCTCAGATTTCCTCGGAAGAACTCACTTGTGCTCCGGGGAACAGGTCGACTCGGCAACAGTTGCATATTTCCAAGCCGCAATGCTTGCACATGAACGAGTTTTCGAAGACCCCAGTCCCACAACGGTCTGTCACGAACATCGTCATAATACGGTAACAACGTGTGGAAACCTCTACGAGTGGACCCACCACAATTGTACCGGAATGCCGGGTCCCTAGACCGATAAATTGACTCAGACAGGGACTCCCGCACCAACAGGGCCTCTTCCATAGTCGGCCGCAACAACGCTGCAACTTTGGGCTGAGAAATACAGATTTAGCAGCCCGGTCAGATAATGTAAGAACGGCAAACTCACAAGTATGAGTTTCGCATAGTCATAGGTCATCAATTTGTCGCCAAATATGCCAGTGAATACCGGGGTTTGACCTCCGTCACTCCCAAAGACCACAGATCCGGAGATAATACGCCGGAAGCCTGTACAGCGCTACAGGTCGTAAGATGGTTCCAGGTGCAGGATATCGCGCTCACCAACGAAAACGCATTGCTTTGGGTCGCCGTCGCGGCACTTCCAACATTGCGGAAGGCCGCTGAACTCTGCAGACAGATTGAGGGCGCGCCCCCGAGCTCGAGAGCTGCACGGCGATATTTGTGTGACGGCCGACACATCCATGAGGGAAAGCACAAGGGAGAACAGTGCCAGGGAGCGCCACCTCACGCGGGCACTGCTCGCACGGCAGCGATGATCCCGCCCAACGACGTCACCGCCGGCGATGCGCGCGCTTGCCCGGCCGTCCGCCTCGCGAACCGCTCTCTCTCTCTCTCTCTGAAAGCAGCCGCGGGGAGCATGCGCCGCAAGCCGCTACCCGGCCGCTCCTCAGCTGCACACGCCGGGTTGTGTCTTGACACTTCCCCTCACTGTTCACTAGCACTCATGCCCCCACGCAGGCTGATCTGCGGCCTCACAACCCTTGGAGCATACGCATATATACTGCCGCAACCGTTCTTCGGATGGGTGGTTCGCTCGGTACTCGGTACGTCCGCGTCTCCGCTTTCCAAGCCGATCCCCCGTCGTCTTTCGCGTGTTCTCCAGGTTCTCTTGCTCCGATGCGTCCCCTCGACACGGCCGCCATCTGCAGCTGTCTCACAGGCTCCTCGACGGCCTTCACGTCACGTTGGTCACCCACACTATCTATTATACTATGTGGCCCGTTTGAGCTCTTCTCGACCAAGAACTTCCTCCGTTAGCGGACGTCACAAAGGTGAGTTTCTATCCTCTCCTCTCCTAATGCTACTCTTCTTCCCTTCCTCTCTCAACGGCACGTCTTCTTGCGTAGCAACTCTCTTCGCAAAGCGTCTTCCTCAACTCGCGCCTCGCCAAATGCCAGACCGGCAAGCCCAACTCCCCCGGGCCTCCTGCCCCCGTTCCTGCGTCGGCGAGCGGGAAAAGCTCGCTGCGGCGAAGCGCAAGCGCGGTGCAGTCGCTGCCGCGGTGTTGTTGCCGTCGCAGGTACGCAGCAGCCCGCCTGGGGTGCAAGGCCGGTGCTACAACCATCACACACAAACTCAAGGAAACGGTCCGGGTCCGTGGCCTCACCACGGCTCGCAGCAGTCCGCCATTCGTGCCGTTTCCGTTTCGCACTTCGTCATCTACACGCCACTCGCCATCTCCTCTCTGCTCTAGCGTCCCCTGCGCCGACGCTTCCCGCGTCGCCGCGTCCTTCATCCTCCGCGCTCTCTCCTTCCCCGCCTTGGGCCAGAGGCTTCCCGCACCAAGCGCACGCTCGATGAGTTCGCACGGGGTTCGCATACATCAACATACGATAAGCCCATCGAGCAGAGTGGGGGTCGCTCATCGACAGGGCGGAAGGAGCGGAACCCTGGAAGGCGAATGCAGATGTGGCGAGTTCTAAACGAGCGAAGCTGCGTCTCTTGGCTCTATGCGTGACGTGTATACATTGCACCTTGTGGCTCCCACGTACCGTTCGATGTTAATGTACCATACGTAAGCTACAACGCGAAGATTTCATCATCTCCGCCATCCCCTCCTCCGTCTTGTTCTTCCGGAGCTGTAATCCCGTGCTCTTCGTTTTCCACAGGGATCAATCTGCGAATCTACTAATGGTCAGTTGCACCGCCCGAGGAGTATTACGCGCTGTTTACCTTGTCCAAGGGTAGCACATGTACGCACGATTTCTCGATGTTTGCGATGCTGATGGGCGTTCGTGCGAAGTGTGATACTACTTGGTCAGCCGCAATTACGATCGGGTCCAAGTAGTGATCGTAATAGAGTTCGCCGCCGACCAGAGGGTAAGTCCTGAATGGATCATGGTTGGCGTCTTCGACAGTGAGCTCCTCCAAGGGCCTCACGAAAAGGTATGTGGCTTCAGGATGACTGGGGGTGGCGAAGCTGAACACCTGGTCTACCCGGCCGGCGCGAACGCTTTGTTGTGAGGACGTTGAGCGAAACAGGATATTGCAGTCTCTATGAGACTTCGAAAAGCTGCAGAACGTCACTCCTTGTTTATAGATACCGTCGCGGGGAACGACCGTGTTGAACAACAGAGTGACGCCACCGTCGTCCCTAGGGCCATCATTGTAAGATGCATATCGTTGTCCATGAGTGTTCGCGTTGAAGAACTGTATGAGAGCCTCAAAACACTGGTCGTCCAGAGCGACTTGTTGGGGCTCGCGTTGACTCTTCGAGACGAGGTCGATGCCAAGAGCATTTGCTTCCCGCAACCTCGTCCCTCGGCGATCCTCAACCGCATCGCGTTCAAAGGCTTGTACAATCTCCAAAACATCATCGCGAATACGCTCATCAGCAGCTAGTGCGCGCAGATTGGATTCTCGGGAGCTGTGCTTCAGGTATGTGGTTTCGAGTTCACCTGCCTCTTTACGATCAATGTCTTGTTACCCACACAGCTGGATATACGCACCGAATCTGGAATTGGTGTTGAGACGTTGAAGCAAAAAGTTCTTGCGTTCAGAGAAGAAGGTTCGGACAGAGTGAAGGGGTCCGAACAGGCGGAAGAAGAACGGAATGTGCAAAGCGTTGTGCTGATTGGGGGTGACGTCGAAGTGGTAGAGTTCAAGAGCCTTTTGGAGATACCGTGATGTAGCTTCCTCGTAAAGTTGTGCCCAGTGTTCAGACATCTCTAGAAGTCCTCCGATGACGATGGCAGTCACTAGATCCATAAAGTTGTCTAGCATATCGCGCTCCCGCCCGCCTTGACCGTGCCAAAGTGGAATGAGAACGATCGGGAGATTCACAACGCAGAATGTGTGCCATTGATCAGCGCTGAGCTTGCCTCTGACTTTCAGGCCAACGTTCGCTGGAACAGGATTCATCCAAGAGGGAAGCAGGGTTTTCGGCATCGCCTCATGGAGTTGCCCAAGAAGCTGTCGTCCGAGGATTGTTGTTTCGCGCTCTTTCGATTGAACATGGTTTTCAGCCTAGAGAAACGTCGTGAGCGTCAGAGAGCGTGCACATATATTATGAAATAATTGTACCCTAGCTTGTGAAGTGGATTCAGCGGTCGCCTCGGGCGCGATCCCTTCCTCTAAAAGCAGCTAGAGAACAAGGTGGGCGTCGATTAATGCGCGGATATGTAAAAACGAGGCCTCGCACTTACCCTTGGTCCGGCTTGTGGGGTAGGAGGGATTGCTTGCCGCACCTGAGATACATTAATTAGACTTCCCAGAAGAACGCGCCACGCTGGTAGAACAAACCAACCATATCGTCGATTGGCAGTGGCGCGGACGCGCGTGTTGGTGTGGGGCTCGATGAAGACGGCGCTGGACTGGGAGTCGTGTGCTATGGTGGTATTCCACGCCGAGGACTGATCAATGGTGCGCTGTCATGTGTCCATCAAAGCAACACACCTGTGAGCTTGTATCATCCGAAATGAGGTTGTCATCATTCTGATGTTCCTGCAGCGGGTGGCATCCGATTAGCATGCGCGCGGCACATCGGTACATATTAACGGCTTCAATGCTCACTGTTATCCACGAAGCCAGAGCTCTGATACGTTCAATCTTGTTATTGCCGTTTGTATTGACTCCAAGTTCAATGCACAATGCTTGCAGCGCGCCTGCGGTGAAACTTTTGCTGATGCTCGTGGGCGCTCTTTTATTCAGAAGCGCTTTCATGAGGAGCGCAGTGCTATCGCGAGGATTTTGAGCGGCCGCGCCGCCCTGCGCCCCGCCCGTGTTGGCATCGGCACCCGCAGCCGACTTGTTGGTTTCGCGCTGTCCTCCGCCCAATCCATGCAAAAGATTATTGAGACCATCAGTCGTGCTCTATCCCTCCACGAAATGCAATGCTGCTTACCCAAGCCATGAGAGCATTGAGCATCTCCTTCTTTGTCTTCTTCGCTGGCATGATCCCGCGAGCCGAACAAAGATGCGATAGAGCAGCATGGCTGCACTTTCCGAGCGCCGTTTTCGACCCCTGAGCAAGCTGAGCCTCCGCATTGCGAATCTCATCTGGTTCCAGGGGAGTCTCCTCTCCTTGAACGTCGTCGGCCTCCGCATTCATTCCCCACAGATCTCGCACGTGGGACTGAAGCAAACCGAGATAGTGGTTGTGCATGGAGTCGATGACCGTGTAGCGAATGGGATCCCAGTAAGGAAGCTCCAACAGCACAGACCATCGGACACTATTCTCCTTGAACGCCTTCTGTCTCTGATGGTTGCTAGTCTTGTCGCGCCAGGCCTGAGCGTCGTTGCGATGTTCTATGAGAGAACGCATAGTCCAGTTCCTGAAGTCGATATTGTTGCGATCCACGTGGAGAAGCTTGCAGACGCTGCAGAAGTACTTGGCGTTGTGACTCCCGAATCCCGATACCTGCCGCGCGGCGAGCAGGTCGCACACCACAGGCACCAAGGCGCAGCGAGCCAGGCGTCCGAAGCGGTGATTGAATGTGCGGGAATAGAAGACTCCGGTGCGCCAGAATATGAGCATGTCGCTGACCAACGGTTGAAGGGCATGGTTGATCTGATCGAGAGAAGGCTTCGTAGGTCCGGGTATGACACCCACGAGAAAGACGTTCTCCGGCAGATAGCGCAGATGCGGCGGAAGATTGAGGCAGTACATGTAAATCCCGGTCACGGTTACGACCTGTTTCGCTGTCTTGTTGTGGAACGGGTTGAAGCCGTCGACAGCCAGTCCAAAAATGTAACGACCTTCTGTGGGGTCCTGAGGACTGACAAATAGACTGCCATCTTCTAGCTTGAGCTGACGAAGCACCGGGGCGTCCCAGATATCCGACATGATTGATTTAGCTTCGCCTTGTGCGCGTTCGAGCGTCGTGTCCATGGCGTCTTCCATGCCTTTCCGGGAAAGGAGACGACCGAGCCACGCCTTCATGTCGCTGTATACGTACAAACGCACCGGTTTGGTGAACTCCTTCCCTTGAACGCGCTTTGTGCGCATCAAGGCTGCGCCGCACGGGTCGCTTTTCTCCGTTGCCCGGTAGGAACACGTCCGCGGCGGCTTTTCGGAGTAGAGCGCGAAGCAAGATGGACAGCAAACGAAGGAGATGGTCGCAGGCTCTAGGTTGAAGCTCCCAATGATAGTGCAAATGTCGATAGGTAGATTGTTGAGAACTTTGCGCTGCTGTTCTACTGGTGCATGGCTCTGACAGGTGGAAAGCGACCTCATATTGGCGAGAAGAACATGTTTCAGAGCGACGAGAAGGAAACGGCTGGTGCGTCGTGTGATTCGATAAATCAGGTGGAGGACGAGAGCTGTGACGTGATGTGCCGCCACGAAGGGGTCGGTAACCTCAAGAGGAATGAAGTGGCATGCTGAAATGCTGGTAAGCGACTCGTGAATTGGCATAAAATGCGGACCATACCAGTGTCGACTGAAGGTACACCACGGTTCTGATGCGCGGCGGTGTTTTTTTGACGGTACCACTCGTGCTCCTTGAGACTTCTCAGCCGAAGGTGCTCTTGATTGAGGGCGTCTTCCATGAGGATGAGGTGCTTTTCGAGGTCAGACCGCCCAAGGACTGCCAGGTCGGAAACATAAGCCCTCGTTGCCACGATCCACGCTTCGTGTCGTAGAATACGTTTGTTGCACTCCTTTGAGGGATCCAAAGCGAGAAGTCGATCGATATTGGGATCGTCGGGCAGAGGCAGAACTTCGGAGCCAAGGTATAGGGATGGATGAGATTGGAAGGACAGGGCGCCGCCACATGTAAATAGACTGCACTCGTCTTCCACGTACGATACTAGGAATGCGACGTCCCCTTCGTCTGGGGTTGGCTTTGACGCGGCAGAATGATCGTACGGTGTGGCGGGCGGAGGGATAGGCGGTGTAGCTGTGGATGGAAGTTCGGGCGGCATCATTCGGGGTGGAGTTCGGGGTGGAAGGTGGGACGGCAGATCTTCTTTGTGACGTTTTCTTGGAGGCGCTTCATGGGATAGATCGTCTTGGGCGTCGTCCGCGCGATCTGCAGCGTACATTCGCCTTCTTTCCTCCTGGTATCTAGTTAATTTGCGGCCTGTTAGAATATCAGCATAGTCAAAGCTTAAGATCGGGAGTAGGTACGAACGTCTCTTGTGCCGACGCTCGCCTGTTGAATTATCAGATTCCGGAGAGACGTCAGGGGAATCTTAAAAGTGGCGCTTTAGGACAAACGAGATGAGCCCAAAACCAATGAAGAACAAACCTATCGTCGTCCTGTCTGGAGCACCTCCCAGCAGTCGGAACCGAACCTGCAACGTTGAAAGGTTCTGGACCCCAATAGTGGCAAGACAAGTGTGTTCGGAGATGGGGGACCGGCCGAAGGGATCAAAGTAGATGATGGGACGTATTCTACTACTAGTAGGCAAAACATGTCGGCAGTGCAACGCCCACAGGATGTCGGATATCTTCCATTCGGGGTGAACCACTACAAAGCGTGATTTAATTCACAACAAGGTTGGTGAGAGCAAGGAACGCACGTAAGGGGGTTGACCGAGAACCTACCCCAAGGATGAACACCGTAATCCGTCGCTTTCCGCGGCGTTGTTGCACAGCACGTCTATCAACTGGAGGAGGGTGACGAATTCGTGGGTGAAGATCTACCAAAAAAATTTAGCTTGAACGTGTTTCAGATGGATTGGAAGCTTACAGAAGGCGGCACCACATAGGAGCAATAGTTCCATCAGAGGTATCATGAACAGGCAGCACACCATCCAACGCTGGGGGACATCTTCGTGGATTTTGATGGCGTAAACTTGCGCGGCAAGTCCAAAGGCCAATCCGAGCCAAAGAGCGCGCAATCCATTAACGATGGTGGAAGTCCGGTGAGAGGAGACCGTCGCGTCCGTGCGACTTGTGAAACGTATGCGATATCGGGGTGCTGCGAAGTGTAGTGGCATGCTCGTGGATGAAAGCTGATTTATGTAAGGAAGCCGAAAATGCGATGGCCTAGCACACCGCAGGCCGCATCACTAAACGCGGGAACTCCGGCCACGTGAGATCTGGCAAGCGCCGGTTGATCGCAAGATGATCATGTTCAGCGATAAAATCCCGAAGTATCATTCAGAGTTGGCGTGACAGCTGGTCATTAACAATTACCTTAGCGCGATAGGCAAAGACTGCTCGGATCTCTAACGGAGCGATTGATCGTACATGCAGTGGGGAGGGGTGCACGGCCACGTTGCGACGGTCGCGCGCAGAACGGATTCCGGAAGGACGATAACGATGAAATGAGCTGTGTTGTTCGCTAGCATAAGACAGTGCAAATGCTGAGGCTAAGTACTATCGTAGATGAGAGATGTGGAGCTCTGGACCCTGTCATGGGCGCGGCGAGAATGAGTAACGCAGAATGTAAGGTAATATCGGAAGCAGCCAAGCCCATGACACCATCCCCTCTTCAAGGGAACGACTTTACAGGCTCGAAGAAAAGAAAATCTCAAGACAGTGCTGAACGCAATGGCAAGGCGGCGTGGCTAGGCAGGAGGTAGAGATAACGAAGGAGAAACAAGGTGGCAAAAGACGGAATAGAGGGTGAACGAAACTGGGAATGCGAGGCGGCGTAGAGCACGAGTGCGAGTGAACAAGCGCGGTCCGATTGTACGGCAGGCCACGCGCGCGAGGACGGAGCGGGACCGCGCGATGTAGGATGTAGGGCGGCGAGGAATGGAGGGAATGGAAAAGACGGAATAGTTGGAGAACAGGGCTGGAGTGCGGAGCGGCATGGAACGCGAGCGCAAGTGAACAAGCGTGGGCCGATTGAGTGACAGGGCTGCGCGCGCGAGGACGGAGCGCGACCGCGCGATGTGATGTTGAGGCTTGAGATGCGAGGTAACGATGGAGGATGGGATGGAGTAGGACGGCAACGATGTATGTGCAGGGACGCGAGTCCGCGACAGGAAGAGGCAAAGAAGGGGAGGGCGCTGAAGGACGAATGAAAAGCGTACTTGAAGAAATCGACTGACTACGACATCTCCGATTGCGATCTGCTCGTGGTAACTCCTGCATCCCTAAGCGCGTGGACGTGGTACTTGGGACCAGCGGCGAAAGGAGCCAAACGGAACGGCTGAGCGGAAAGTCGGGGTCGAACTTGATGGTGCAGATGTAGGAAATGAGAGTCGAAAATAGAAGAGGAGGAGAAGAGGAGACGATACGGAGAAGCGCGCGGGACCGTGGCTTGCGGAGCAATGACGTCCAATAGGCGAACAATGTTCGCGTGCGAAGGACGATGGCGGAGAGCAACGAGAATGAGGTCGAGGTACGAGTGCGCGCGGCAAGCTCGGCGTCGTTGAACGCCGAGCGCCTGTGGCAAAGGCTCGGGGGCGGACAGGGGAGGGGAATGAGTGACAATATGATGCGCAGGATATGGATGAGCGAGGAAAGCATAGGTAATCGGCTTGGGAATCATGTTGTCAACAAGACACGCACCTGGGATCCGTAGTCTACCGTCGCCTGCACCCCACCGGCGCGAGCTGGACGAAAGATCCAGCGACCCGGCGCAATGGTTGTGCCAACGTTCGCTGTCAAAACAGAAAGCAAAAAAGCGAACCTGTCCCATCATTCCACAGCATCTATGCGCACTCCCAATTGTCGTTCTCTCCCTCCGCATAGTGTGAACGAGCGCGGCGGCGCAGATAGAGGGCGCAGGCGCCGTTTGGGATGGCCAACCCCTCCTCCCAGCCATCCAAGAGGCTACGTTCGGAGTCTTGAAGGGCTGGGCTTCCAGAAGGCTGGGGGATCCAGTTCGAACGAAGAGGCGGTTAATTGGCCGCGCGAAGATACCAACCGGCGGGATGAGGATGCCAATCGCCGAATAGGAATGCCGATCGAGGCGGGCACAAGGTGGTGAATAATGGAGAGGGTCCGTGTTGGCGGGTGAAACACGACCCCAGCAGTGACGTTGGCCGCGGTTGGCGGGCAATTTGAATCCTGCGTTCGCGGGCAGCAGTCGGAAGCTGATTCGCGCAATCGGGGCAAGGGTCGGTGTAACGCCCGGGAGCGCAGGGTGCCAGAACGTCCATATGCGCACCTCTGCCGCCAACGAGAATAATTGATGATGCTGCGTGTCAAGGAGGCAACTCGAGGCGGAAGGGTCGTTGAATCGGGAGGATGCGATAAATGCGCATGGCGAGGCCCGGCGACTGTCGCGCGCGGTCGCGGACCATCTGAAGACGGGTGTCGGTCTCGTCGCAGCGCGCTCTGCGCGGTCCGCGGGCTCCGTTAGGGCTGTACGGGCTGCGTGCAAGACCTGGGGCTGGAGTAGACCTTGTGCGAGTGGGGATGCGGAAGGTGTTTCGCAGAGGATTGGAAGGCGGCGAGCTCAGACTTAAGCGCCCCTGTTTCGCGGGACACTTTCGAGAGCACTTCTGTGAGTTGGGATGAGGGAACAGGCAGGCAGTCTAACGGGTTGGTGATGGCACGATTGAGGAAGATGCTAGGCGAACGCAGTGCAAGCAGGCCATGGCAGACACCGAGCGGGAAGGTGCGTTGATTGAAGCGCCTGGCCCTGTGCGACCTTTCCTCCAAAATCAGTCCGCATAGTCTCC